AGCCTAGAGGGAGAAAGAGACGTTGGGGTGCGGCGTAGCGAGCGTGAGGACTGGGGACCTGCGGTGGGATTTCAAATTTCAAACGGCCCGCCTCTGCGTTAGGCAGTGGGGCCATTTGGCAGGTGACTCTTGTCAGTATGCAGGGCCGCCGTGAATACTCGCTGCCTGTGCTTGGTGTCGTTACTCGTTTTTCTTTCACGCGCACATTTACTTATTTCATTTTTTTTAAAAAAAACTTGTTTTCTTTTGTGAGCGAATTGATTTTTTTCTGATAAAGTTAACGCTCCAAATCTCGTGACAGAACTGAATGCATTGGCTGCCGTCCGATCCGGATTGCGTTGGCGTGATTTCGACAGGGGTGGATGGTTTTTGTTAAGGGATGATTGCGGACGTTATTTGGACAAGGATTTTCAGGAGAGTAATTAATGTATACCATGATATTAAACCGTTATGCTAGTGAGGGGGCTAGCTAATTCCAGTCGTTTCGTCTAGGTTCTAGCTAGCCAACCAAACCATCCACTAGCAAGTATTGTAGTAGTTGTTGTTTAGGTTGAAGACAACTCGTTTTCAATCTGTTGATCTGAACTGTTATCGAATCGGCCAAACTGAAGAACAGCTAATCTGATCATGGAGTTGAGTGGATTGGGATGTCGAGTCTTTCGCCCTCTTGCCAAATTGTGGAAGAGAGGACGAGATGTGTTGGCTCGCTCCACAACCATCACCGTGGTAATTTCTATATGAATACTATCATGGTTTCGCACCTCATACCTGATAATTCACGTACAACATCGTGATAACTTTGACATGAGAAAAAAAAGTTGTTGAGACATACATCAGTAACTTCTATGTCAATAGCATGGTTATTTATACAACGTTGACCTAATATGTTAAGGCCATCATATTTCGTGAATCCAAGCTATCTCATGTGTTTGTGTATCCCTTCTGTTTCAGCCCTATAGCCTTAAACCCGTGAATTAAATATACTAATGATACCTCGTGCCTTTCTACGGGAATGGGTTGCAATAATTTTAGTGAAATTTATCGAAAAAGGTTTTCGCCCCGCTTTATATATAAAGCAAAGATCAACATCATCCGAAACAAACGCACGCCCACACCACACACACCCAAGACAGGATACAAAAGCGCTGAGCGTAGCAACACCACCCCTAGCACACTACCACGTAGAGATGAAGACGCATACAGCGAACCGTGGACTCCAAGGCGGCGCCTTCAAGAAGGATACGACACCGGAGTGCCGCCACCACCAGATCCAAGGATCAGAGTTTCCCCCGGAGCCGCACGACGGGCGGTGAGAGCCGCGACGACGCCTTCAAGAAGGGAGCGAGCTTCGCCGTCGACGGTCCGTCCGAAGATAGAGCAGGTTTTCACCCCGGTCTACACTCACCGCCACCAACCGCTACACCCAGGCAACCACGCCGCCCACACGACCATGATCACCGGGCAGCGCCAAGACACGAGCTCTTCCCAAGAGCACCGTGCACCGCCACCAGGGCCGCCGCCCCGGCATCCAAGACCTTGAAACCACCACACCCGAGACCCGCCACTACCCCAACCAAAGAGACGAGCAGAAAAGGAGACGCCTTTGCACCCCTGGCCCACCCCAGCGTCGAGACCCAATAGGTCGGCCAACACTGGCATCCATCGACCCATCCTGCAGCCCGGAGCGCGAGACGAGATCGGTCCTGCAGCACCGTGGGGCGGGGACGGAGTCAGTCCTGCTGTACCGTGTGCGAGACGAGTTCGGTCCTGCGGCACTGTGCGCAAGACGACCTCGGTCCTGCTGCACCGGGCGCGAGACGAGCGATGGACCGCAACTAGGAAAGGGCCAGCCCTTCGAAGGGAGTAACGACCGAGCGCCGAGGAGATGGAGTGAAGGCCGAAACGGTCCGATCGCAGACAAGCCGACGCCGGAGAAGCCGGCCGCCGCCACAAGCAGATCCGCCAAGCCACCATGGTGCCGCCATGACACCGGGAGTCCACCACCTCCGGACCTCCACATGTCGCCGCCCACGGCCAGAGCAACGGCCACGCCCGGCCGCTGCCCTAGCCGTGTCGCCCGGCGCGCTCATAGCGCCGGAGCCGCCGGGCACGCACCACCGCCGCCACACGCCGCCGACCGACCCCCACCACCAGATCCGGCTGGATCCAGCAAGGGGCCGACCGCGCGCCACCTCCCGAGA